CCGTTCGTGCCTGGTCCTACCCCACGGGCCCGCTGCTGGACTCCCCCGGCAAAAACCAAGGGGGATAGTCCTACGAGACCCTCAACCCCTCGGTTTGCTCCTGCGTCGCTCCGCCGCTCCGCTCTGGCCACGATCCCAAAATCCACGTGGTGGTAGTTCAATGACATAACCTATAGGGCTAAGCCCCAACCTGGATAGGCTAGGCACTAACCTGCATATGGGTGGTAACCGTGGCCAGTCTGGGCCTGTGGCAGCAGCGTTAAGACTGCCACTTGACTTCCTGTTCCAACCCACGGTCCTGTACGCATGCGCCTGCGGTTAGGGGCCGGATTTCGCTCGGTACGCCACGCCTGTAACCCCCGTAGTGCCACGTGGAGGCCATCGCTTGCGTCTACAGTGCCTACGCACCGGCCTTCGCCGTATGAAGGGGTAGATTTTTTCTTTTCTTTTTCTACCATCGCGCGAGCAGTACCAGTGTGCCGCTTCCTAACAGATCCACCTCCAACGGCGCGTGCCGTATGAGCGCGGGTGCGCCATGGTCAATTCACCAAAGGCCAACCCTCCCTAGCCTTTAATCAAAGCCAAAAGGTCGTCGGCGGACACACCGACCCCATACCATCAAGGGAAAAATGACCATCACGCGCGCCTCTGAACTACTCGCCCACACACCCCCTACTCTAATCATGCATTCTACCTACGCAACCAACAGACTTAGGCGCGTCTAGCGCAATACACTTTTAGGCCTCTACTCGTACTTCCGGTCACTTGCAAAAACAAGGGCGGATACCCTTGTCAGGGTATTCGCGCCGACAGCCTACCGGACCTTATTAAGCGACGTCCCCGTCACTTCACCAGATCAAAAGCTACAAATTCACCCACAACCCCAAATGCAGACGAGAAAGGAACCAATCCGATTAGCCGACAGACTCAGGGTTGAGGCCTCCAACAATCAAAGCCCTTGTAACTATATGCCGCCAGGGTTCTAACCTGGGTCTCCATTGTCCTGACACTAGGACACCGGTGCACTAGACATATGTACTACAGCATAAGTCTCAGCGGCCCCTCTTACCTGTCCTCTCACCCTTGTCCTAGACAACCGCCGGCTTCTCGTTGGGTGTCCTTGGTCTCCATCCTGCGAGCAGGACTTTGACCAAGGACGCGGACCCTAACCGAGACCTTAGAAGGCACTCTCGCCTTCCCCCAACAATTCTCACAATCAATATATATATATATATATATATATATATATAGTCAAAATATATATATATATATATAAACCACCCCAACTCACCTCCTGCAGTCTAGTACTGGGAGGCTAGGTCTCCATCTTGGCCCACCGTAGTCTGGGTGATCGTGCCAGGCCTACGGCCTACCGTGCTTGTTAGTTCAGCGGTAGTGCCCTCGCAGGTTGCGCCGCGATAGGCTTTCTCCTGATAAGCATTCAATCAGGACTCAAAAAAGACTCGACTCGACCTTTATCCCACGCCGGTCCGCAGGAGTAAAACCCTCCTAGGTGGCCACACCCCTTTAAGTTTTTACTCCCAAGGCCCGATGTAGGCCCGCTGGTCAGGTTGTGCCGATCAGCAGCCGACACTAGGGGTTGCGCCCTAGTGATGCTAAACTCTACCGTTAGCTTGGTATTCTCATACATGTTCCAGGATTAGCACATGTGGCTGGACGGTGGGTCGCAACAATGCAGGCCCACCGCGGGACTACGCAGAGGCTTGTCACACATAAAAAGGTATTTACCAGCCCTCCGTGGGACAACACAGGGGATCATGGCAACCTCTCCACATTTACAAACAGAATCACCGCCAGTTGCACAAGGCCGTGACTTCCTTACTTGATCAGAGCAGGAAGCCACGCATTCCAGTGACATATCCTAAAAGAAACTAATTGCGACCTCTCCAAACTCTCATCAGTGGCCAAGCAACAAACATGGTCCTTCTCGTCAGGCTTTATCATACCAACCTTGCTTACCATGCCACCGATCTTGTAACCACCCTTCATACGAGGGAGGTCTCACTCCATAGGTCTCCCAGCATGCAGCGGGTTGCCTCCTAAAAAAAACAGGCACCCCTACCATAGCACAACTCAAACTTGAGGGACCAACTTATGGGTCCTCATCACAACTCAACAACATACATTTGGCATGGCAAGCATCTGAGTCTCAAGGACTCACAAATCCATGGGATTCTTATACTTTCACAAGGACAGATTGCGCCCCCTCCCCTTATACCTGGCCCCGTTACCTGCCCGCGGACAAATCGCACAAGTATACCGAAGAGTACGCAGTTCACATACATTCCATTCGCACGGTACACAACATTCAAGATGTCGTTCATACATCCAACATTCACCATACATCAGGATAAAACCACACATGTGAGTGTGAGAGTGAGAGTGATCGTCATGTACAAGGGATAGTCTCAACCCTCACTCAACTCAAATATACACTCAGGGATGAGATATCTCATCCTAGAATACACAGGATAACCTCGTCTCAGGACCCACACAAAACAACTCACACCACCCTGAATATAGTACATGGTTATCTGCACAAGAAGTCCCCAAACCACTCAGCATTCTACTGTCACTTAGTGTACACTCCCTATTTTACATGATCCTCGTTACAGCGGCCATCCCATGCCGTAGGTCCCATCTACATACTCAACGTCGTATGTGTCCACCCTGCCTAAGTAATAGCAAAATCGTCAAAGAAATATCCAGTTTTTAATCAGGTGAATCAGACCCTACTCACTCATCTCCTCCTGGTTCAGCCTGTACAACTGAGCTCTACCCCCATCTACATCTCGTTCCACCACTCTACCCTGCCTATCATACATCTTCCCATCATACTCCGAGACCTTCCCGTCTGCCTGGTCCTTTAGGAATTTTAGGCACTGCAATGCCCTGTGCTCTTCCTTCGTACAATAGAAGCAGGTCGAGTCAAACGACTTCCTAGGCCTTTTCTTCTTCCGCTGGGGCCCTGCTGGCGATGGGGTTTCCCTGGCTTCTCTGTCCAACTCATGGCACTGAGGCACATCCCTGGGTCTCTCAGATCCTGCCTCCGACTCTCGCGGACTGGGCCCTGGTTGCGCCCTTGCTCTCTCTGGCTCGTAGTCAGGAGTATCCAACTTCAGGGGCCTGCCCGTGATGATGCCCTCCACTGCACCTCCCATCTCGCTCTCCAGGGGCTCTTCTAACTTGGACTCTGGCGAAAACAAGCCCGCATCCTCCTGCATAGAGTGGACTGTTTCCGGTAGCACGTCCAAGGACCCTCCTGTCGAGCCTTGGGGAGGCTCATCACTGGCCGAGGGCAGTCTCTCCCCAAGTGACGGTGGCATGGCAGGGTCTGCAGCCATCGTGGGTAGCACCGCAAGCTCCGTAGGGGCTCTGAATTCGAAGACTTCACTCTCAGCCTTCCTCTTGGCCTCTGCCTCCTCAGGCTCCAAAATGACTCTTCCCATAGGTGCCTCTTGCTGAGGCTCAGCCACAGCTGGTTGCTCTGATACGTAATGTCCCAGTTGCCTCTGCTCTCCTAGCCTGCTACTCTCCGCCCCATCCCTGCCGCCATGGAGTTGCTGCTTCAATTCCAGGATGGTGGCGGCCTGGCTAGTCACTAGAGCCCTGAGCTCTCGGACTTCTGCCTCAATAGTCACCAACAGTGACTCCAACCCTGCTTTCTTTAGTTCCTTCCCTCTCAGATCCGCCTCCAACATCATATGCCTGTCGAAGGAGGCCTTGGATACGGAGCGAATCCTCTGATCCAAATACTCATCAACTCTCTGTGAAGTTTCAACCTCTGCCTTGCCTGGGGTCGTCAACCCTTCACCATGATGAGCAAGAAACTCTCCCCACATCTCCCGAGCCCATATGGTTTATAGGGCGGTGGCGGACTTGGGAGTACCCCTGCTGCTTCCAATCTTTGCCCCGGATTTCCTCCCAGCGTCTTGCTACTCTAGCCCGCTTATCCTCAGCCGTTTCTTTCGCTAGTACTTCCTCTACCGTGCGTTGTTCGACTTCCCTTGGGACCCCCGTTTCCACCTCTCTCTCGGTCTGACCTGGTTCTCGGGGTGACTCCACAGGTATGACCTCTTCCAGGCTAGGTTGCTCCAGAGCGTGGGCGGCCAGATGGCTATCAATTAGACTGTCTGCCTCCCTTCTCAGACTGGCCCCCTCCGCCTCACTTGCCTCCATTCCTGTCAGCGATAGGGCTGTCTCCGGCACCGAGATTGAGACTTCCTCCCTTTGTACTTTCTTCCTCGTATCTGGCGGACTCTCGAGTGGACTACCGAGCCTCTGCCCCACGGCTGGTCCCTGAGGGGGAGTGTCTTCCTCAACTTCTATGATCTCATCCCCAGTCCGGTCTTTCGTAGCACTCGGCCCCTCCTCTTGTTCAGGGTCTGGAACGTTCTCTTGTGGTACTTCCGCGATGGCCTCAATGCGCCCCTCACTCATCGGCGGCTCTCTCCAATGGGCAGCATCCAGGTGTGCCTCTAACTCTTGCAATGACCCTTCAACGGCCGGTATCTCTTCCTGTATATGCTGAGGCGGTCCCCCCAGTCCTCCTCCAGTATAGTGGTGGAACTCCACTGGCCCGAGTCCACCCTCGGGGTGCTCCTCCCGTCGTTCTGCCTCAGGCACGTCCTCCTCTTCCCGACTAGCAAGCGCCTTCCGTCCTCTCCGCGAGGTTCGGTCTTCATCGGGCTCAGGTTCCCTCTGCCTGCCGCTCCTGAGGCGCCTTTCGACTCTAGGCTGAGGTGGTTCTGGCTACTGGAATGCCGCCCTCAAGTGCGCTCTACAACCATCCCAATCTCGGGCCATGTCCCTGATCTGTCTGGCCAAACGTCTTTCCGCCTTTCGGGTCCACAGGGGTAACGTCGTCATCCACTCGCTTCGCAGTATTCCATGGTTCTGCATGAATTGCTCGAATGCTGGGATGAATTCCTCTACATTCTCAATCTCTAGCCGAATAGGTCTGCCATCAGGCCCCACAGGTGACGGTCGCAGTTTCTGCATCCGCGCCTCCACTTCCGACCTCGTTCGAGCCTTCCTGCGAATCTGTGCGATGGGCTCCATAAACCTGCCAACTCCCCTCAACCTCTCGATCGTCTGAGTCACGGTCCACCCCATATGGTCAGCGTGGCCCCAGAACTCGTCCATGAATAACTCGATATCCCCATTGTTATATACTGGGGTGCTTGCTCGACGGTAAGGCCCATGCCATCCATGTCCTCCTGAAACTCCCGCCGGCCGTCGTGGTGGCCATGTTCCCCTCCCTCCTCTTGGCATGGCTGCAAGTCAGTCCTGCACAACAGGCGAAGGAGACAACAGGCACGCGCCGAGGTAAGCAAACAGGCGACGAAGAGACATACTCAGGCCAAACCAAGCACATGCCTCAAGCAATCCTCCTATCTACAAACCCATCTATTCCATTCTAGTGGACTGGGTTGCCTATCTCACCTCTTCTCTGGCCATGAACTTCTTCAACCTCGTCCCTGACACCCAGTCTTTCCACTCTGCTCCATTCAGCTCCTCGATCTGGTATGCACCAAACTCTCCGCATCGCACGATCCGATAGGGACCTAACCACCTCTTATCCAGCTTCCTGGACCACTGTTTTTCCAGGGATGAATCATACAAGAGCACGACGTCCCCAACTACCAAGGGTACCTTCCTTACACGAGCCGACTGGTCCCAGCAAGCCTTATCGTCCATACGACTCCTCTCTACCTGGTCGGATGCCTCTTGGACCCTTTCCTCAATTGCACCCACTTGCCGAGCTCGAATATCGAGCAGCTCTTCAAATGACAAATTTACCTCCAAGTCCTGCCGCCTCCAAGTCTTTAGGAAGCTCTCGATTGGAAAGGTAGCATGTCTTCCATACCACAGCGTGGTCGGCGCGTACTTAGTGGTCCTTTTCACTGTGATGTTCTCAACGAAGAAGGCGGCCCTAAGATACCTTGGCCACTGGTTGGGCTTACCTTCAGTCCATTTCGCTAGCAAGGCCGTAATGGTGCTATGCCCCCTTTCCACTGGGGCATTCGTCTGAGGGTGAGCGGCTGTGGTGTAGTTAGCTACCACTCCATACCGCGATAGCAAACCTTGAACCTCTTGACAGGTGAACTCCGACCTTCGGTCCATCACGAATTCTCTAACGAACGGGTAGCGTAGGTAATACTCCTCGATGCAGCCGACCAGAACTGGCCCAGTCTTCGTACGGATTGCCCGTCCATCTACGAAGCCAGATAGGTTGTCGCGCGCATCGAAGATATAGTTGTAGTCATGATCTCCAAGGGGCATGAACAATAAGTTGAGGTGTACTACGGCCCCGACCTCTCTCTCCAGCCTCGGATGCAGTGGCTCTCCTGGCCTTAGACGAGACTGCTCCTGGCACGGCACACAGGAACGACAAAATTTCCCAACCATCTCTATCATCTCGTCCCAGTAGTATAGCTCACTTATTTTGGCATATGTGGCAGTAATTTCCCGGTGTCCACCCGCAATGCCATCGTGAAGCGCTGCTATGACGTCGATCTGACGGTTGCGACCACATACCACCCGCCTGGGGTTTTCTACTTTCCTTCTTACGAAGAGATGACCGTCCCTTACTAGGTAGCAATCCCTCATCATCTGCGCCCTATGGCTTGCGTCTCTATCACGCATCTTGCAGGATAAGAGAAGTCCCAGCTCTAGGTAAATCCCTTCATACTCCTCTGCACGGAATGCCTCCTTGACCTCTCCCTCTTCAAACTCGTCATCCTGGCTCTCCAACACAGTATCTCTTCCTTCGGCCGGGTTTGGTGAGCTTTCCAAATCAAGGGACTCCTGCAGAAGCGCATTGACGAGGAGGTACATCCCTCCCATTAATTCCTCGTGACGTTTTACCTTATCCGGGCCCTCCTCTATCGTCAGTACCTCATCCACCATACAATGGCTACCTGCGAGTGCCAACTTGGTCATCCATTGGACGTCCTTACCGCCCCAGGGATCCTCCTCTTTGAAAGGCTTGAGCACCAACTCAGCCTTCCGCTCATACCCCTTAGGCGCGTGCCAGATAGGATGGCCAACGCAGTTGGGGACTCGTGGGGACCACTTATTGATGTGGAGGCGGATGTCCTCGTCCTGGTCCAGAAAGCCATCAACATGGGCCGTATCCTCTACAGCTTCCCCGTCCCGCCTATCCCAGTTGATGCGACTTAGCCCATCTGCCCTATTCTTGTTCCCTGGGATCCGTTCCAACTCGAAGTTGAACATCCAGTTGTATGTCAACCACCTGGCAACTGTTGGATCGGACGGAACATAATTCCTGAGGGAGAAAGCCAGAGCCGTTGGGTCTACCCTTAAGATGAACCTCCTGCCGAATATGTAGTTTCAAAAAATCCTATGCAATGAAGGACGGCGAGGGTCTCCCTCTTGAATTGAGAGTAGTTTCTTTCTGACGTACACAGCGTGCGACTCTCAAAGCGCAATGGCCTCTCCTTCCCCTTGACGTCTGCTTGGATTAGAACTCCACCCAAGGTCGTCGGTCCTGCATCGGTCTCCACAATGAATGGTCTCGTCTCCGCAGCGTCATAATCGGACGCTCCCAGCACCAATCCTCCTTCCTGAAACTCCTCTTTCATGTTGGCCACAGCCTCTTCCTGATCCTCACCCGAGGCCCACTCCTGATCCTGCCGGACCAGCTTCCTTAATTGCTCTGTTTTTGCCGCAAAGTTCTTGACGAAGGACCTCCAAAACCCACACGTACCTAGGAAGCTCCTTACATCTGTTACAGAACGGAATGGCACCGGTCACTCAACTATCTTATCCTTCTTCTTAACATCGGGTCGCCGACCGTTCTCATTACAGACGAACCCCAAGATAGTCGTTTCCCTCATACAGTGCTTAGACTTAGGCCCACTGGCCGTAAGGTTGTACTCCTCAAGCAAGCCCAAGACTTTATCAAGGTCCTGAACGTGCCTCCAAACAAACCGCCTTACTTCAGGCAGGACCTCATCGTCTTCCCTTTTTCGCGGCTCTTTCACTGCCAGGTCATCGATGTATGGCTGCGTGATGTGTGGACTAACTGTCTGCATGATCCGGATCATATTCCTCTGGACCATTGCCACCGCATTCGTCCACCCTTGCGGAGCCACATTCATGTGGATAAGCCCTCGAGGCGTGTGCATAGCTGTCACAGGTCGGTCCGGCGGGTAGACCGTAAATTGGTCATATCCGGAATAGAAGTCAATAAGTGAAATTATCGGCCTCCCAGCGCACAATTCCGACAGCGCATCAGCATTTGGTAGCCCACCTGCATGCCGCACTGTCTCCGCATTCAATCTCTGCAAGTCCTGTACCCACCTTAGTGTCCCATTGGGGTTAATAAAACAAAACCATGGGGATGCGTAGGGTCCGCTCGAGTAGTCGGCGACGTGCGTACGTATTTTGCCATCGAGATAGTCCACTACCTTCTTCTCTTCGTTCGGATCGGGGTATCGCGCCCCTCTTAGATTCCATGGCTCGTGCGGCACGGTATGGATGCGGATCATTGGAATCTTGTCCACATCCAACTTGCCACGCTCCTCGTCGCTGAATGCATAGGCGCGATGTCTTTTCTTCATCAGCTCCACCATCAGGGTTCTTTCCCACGGTAGTAGGAAGCCCGGTTCTCCCACTATCAACTTCCCTTCGTTTTCCTCATTGATACGGCATGGCCCTTCTGACGCATTTTCCCTCATCCGCTGTATCAACGCTCACTCCCGTTTGTAGTACACCTCCTCGTCCTCGGTAACCAGAACGGGAACTGGGCGGCACTTTTTGCTTATCGTTTTGTACCGCCTTTGGACACCCTGCTTGAGCCGGCCCCTAAAAAAGGGCTGACTTGGCACTCGTGCCTGTGCCTGTGCGACTGCCGGATCCATTCCCCCCTTGGGAAGCCGGTAAACCAGCTCCATTTCCCCTACCTAGGGATACTCCAGAACCTGCTCCCTCAACGCCTGAATGGCATCCGGATCGGCCATCTCTTGCGTGGCCACTATATCCATGGCCTTTCCCACATCCGACAGTCTGAGCGAGAAGACTTCACCTTCTACTTCGTCCTCGGGCTCTGCCATAAGCCTCCGATGCGCGTCTTCTGACTCCTCAATCGTGAAGGAGTCAGGGTTGGGCCTGTTCCTGAGGCTCCTTGGCCAAGTGTTCCAGCAGGTAATCACTTCGTAATTCCCGCATGCTGGATCATATAGAATCAGGATCAATGACCCATCATGCTTATTATATATCAAAGTCTCTGTCCTGCATAGGAAGGACCTCCCCAGGAGGATGCTGTGGTCCACATCAGGCATCACAAAGAAACAGGCCCGCACTTTCACCCTGCCAATCTCCAGTAGCACATTCGAGGTTGTTCCACAGAACACCGCCTTGTTGTTGGCCCCGTGCAGGATGCCACAATCTGAACGGTCTACCTCTAACCCAAACTTGATGGCGTCGGCCTCTCGAATGATATTCATCTCCGCGCCGGTATCCACCATGGCTGTGCATTTGGAGCCCTTAACCGCTAGGTCCACCACGCCACAAGCTACACACTTCCAATCCATTTTTGTCCCTGGCTCTGCCCATTCCATCTCCTTGGGCAGCATCACGCTGAGGTGAACACTTGGTACCAGTCGTCTTGACAGTCTGCCCTTTAACTCATTGCGGAGCCTGGGCGCAGACGCTAGGATCTCTTTTAGGGTCATTAAATCATTATGGCCCTCAAGCAGCCTGTCAATTACTCGCTCTACATCAAATCCTTCCTCTAGCCGGACCGCATACTTCTTCCTCTTTGGCGGTACGTCTCGCATAACCGGTTCGGCCTCTCCCCGACTTTCTCTTTTCTTGGCTCGCTGTTCGGCCCTTTGATCTTCTTCCTGACGTAACCAGTCATCTTCCCCTTCATCATCATCATCATCCTCTACCTCTACAGTTTCCTTCCTCTTTTTTGGTTCTGGTTCCTTCCGAGGAGGTCCTTGACTCGCACCTGCCTTGGCTTGACTTAGAGTGCGGGCCGCCTGAGCCAGCCTAGCTTGCGGGGTAGGGGGCCTAGTCATCATCTCTGACCGCGGGCCCGTCCCCACAGTGGTCACTCCGGGCCGCCCTGGCATGGATTCTGGACCAGCGTCATAAAGAAAGACCTTGGGGAGGTTAGCCCTCCACTCCTTCACTCCCTCGCAAAGACCTACCAACTTTCGTTGGTACCTCCCTACCTTGTCCAATAAATCCTCCATCTTATTCAGCAGGACTACCGTCGGCTCTACCTTTTCATCGTCACCCTCATCGTCCGACTCGATGATTATGGGCTTCCCTCTTACATCCCCGGCCTGTAGCCTCTGGGTTACTTCCTCGTTGCTTCCTACTCCCTCAACTCCAATTGACAATTCTTCCTTCTCCTTCCATAGCCTGAACGTGGCAGGGGGTGGCTGTCGTGCTGCTAACCTTCGTTGGGCCTCCGCCCTAACTCCACCAGCCTTCCTATCAATAAAATCTCCGAATTGGTCGTAAATGTCCCCATCCATATTAGAATAAATCAGTCCATTTTTMTCGTYCTCTCTCCGTATGTTGCAAAACCTAATAGTGTGACCTTGCTGGTCACAGTGCTGACATATGGCAGTCSTCCAATCAAATCGGGCCCTTCCACCACCTTGGCCCCCTTGGTTGCCTTGGCCGCCTTGATTGCCTTGGCCACCTTGGTTGCCCCATTGGCCTCCTCGGCCACCGCCATTCCTGCCACGTCCTCGCCCACCGCCCCTTCCTCCATTCCCTTGGTTTCCTTGGCCTTGGTTACCACCACCCGTCACACTGCCTTRTGAACTTTGTGTGGGCGTYGGCGTCGGTGGTACCGCTGRCYGAGTCTGGGCGGCGRGGTAGCTCGGAGGTGGCATACTTGCCTGGGGCCCAGCATAGGGTATTACCTGTCCAGACGGCGCTGGGCCACCCCAGGGTACATAGGTATTAATTAGGGGCCACAGCCAGTGCCCAAATGGTGGCACTGATGCTTGCGATGGGCCCGCACTACTTGATGGCCCGGACGAACTCGGAGATGCCGCTACCACTACTTGAGGCGCCTGGCCCTTTCCTGACCCTTGTCCGCCTTGTGCTAGATTGCGCTGCTTACGCTGCGCCTTCGTAAGGTGTGGCGGTACCGACTCCTCCTCTTCCCATCCTTCCTGGGTAGCCTCCTCTACCACGGCCCCCTTGCCTTTTTCCTGGACTGCCGCTGTCACCTTCCGCTGTATCACCGGGTCTAGCCCTGCTAATATGTCGGTTATGATCTTCTTTACTCCTGGCGATCCAGCCGCATCCCTGTCCTTCCGTTTTTGCCTCTGCAGCCGCACCTGGTGCTGCTCGACTTGGTCGAGGCCTCCAACCTCCACCCCTCTGTCAATGGTGGCCCAGGTAAGTTTGGCATTTCCTCCCCCATGCCAGTGGTTTGTTAGCTCAACTGTCTCAGATGCGGTGAGCAGTCCCAGGAAGACGGCGCACTGCGCCTCCTCCGATATCCCATGTACCTTTCTCGCCTTCTTTTTGAATTCTTGCAGGAATGCCCCAATGGTGGTGAAGTCATCCCTATTCATTGCCTCTAGGTCCGCCATAGTCAACAGGCCATCCCCCAACCTATACTTCCTCTGCATTCCTTCCTTAAATTTAGCCCAGTCGCCGTTAGCGTCGTCGACCACCTTCTGCACTTCCGGGTGGTGCTTATGGAGCACATACTGCAGGATGCATTTAAATTTTGTGTTGTCCGGTACCCCACCAAGGAATGCTCCACTAGGTCCAGCCACTCAGAAACTCGTTCCCCATTGAAGTGGAAGGTGTCGACCTTGGGGACACTTCTTGGCGTTCGCTCCCGCTTGTCCATCGCCTCGATGAGATCATCGAGAGTCAGGACCTTGCCTGAACTGTCGCCTATGCCGCCTGTCATTTTAGCAGCCTGCCCTTCACTTAACTTCCCTGTAGTAAGACGAGGTACAAAGGCAACGTTATTCAGCACTCTCACTCCAGCATAAGCCTATCGAGCTAACCATTTAGCTCTTGGGCGTTTCAGACTTTAACTGACACCCACGTCCCTTTCCTTCATTCACAAGGTCTACCTAAGCTGTGAGTTATCCCACATAGCTGCTATAGTCATATAATCCCTCCTATAGTCCTACTTATAAACTCACTTCAAATCTCTCATTCACACCTGATTTCTTCCTTATCCTAGTGCCCGGATATCGTTCCACTAGGGACAACGGCAGGCAACCGTCATCCCCGGCAACGGCGCCACCTGTCGTGCGCATCGGTCCGGCACCACTTAGAGGTAGCGCGGGACCCTCCCGACCGCGTCACGCAGGAGTCGGAATACAAACCCTTATTGCGATACACTCGTGAAGCTTCCGTAAGCCGCTCCGGTAGGGTGCGCCAGCCATACCTCTCGCGAGCCCCTACGACAGGACAGGGCCTACGTGAGGGACGACTACCTCCACCTTACGGAACCTGTCACCTCCCTTTGGTGGGTGTATCCCCGCCGAGCTACCAGTCCACAGTACAAAAGTTGATCAGCTGCAATCGCAGAGGTGGACCAGTCGAGGGCGTTTCTCGTTCGCTGTAGCATAAGGGGTACGCGCGGTACTATGCCTCTATCGGACCCGCACGCGAACCGACATCTTGGGGGGCTGAGGTCCCAAGCRCGGCTCGTCGYCGGTCGACTAGRACGCATCCCACACGCCAYRCGCACTCCACTATAAGGTACRTAAAAGTAAAGCACACGCACACAYGCACACAAGWACTGAACRACGCAAAGGACGTACAACGCGACACCCTCYTAYTCCCTTAGTATCYATCCCATAACTTCCTRGTGCGGGAATCGGTTGAGCGTCGTGCGCGAGACTTAATATAAGCYGCRCGGGCGTAGGCCTTCTCATATCGACTAGCAATGCCAAYGCACACAAACAGTCGCGAARATGGCGTACTATGCAGTGYCCATAATCGAGCGGTCCCTYRTGGATCCRAGTACCGCTTATGACACTCACGTGTCAGAYTSGAASTWTCGTGAGGGTTCCGCCCTTCACGRCATTGCACGACTGAAGGACTAGCCGTGYGGCCGCCYCGGCACGTCCGGCTTTCGGCCCGAGTGCCCCGACGGTCAAGGCAAATAGGTTCTGCCCGAGGGGGGTCCCCTTCAGTGCAGGGCCTAGGGCTTGGGATGTCCTGGACAAGGACCTTGAATCCCGGCCCWGGACCAACGTCCGACTAGCAATCTTCGAGAAGCACCTATATAAGTGATGGGGTCATCCTTTCTCTACTAGCCCATCCCCTGATTAACTCCTTAGCACGCGGCCCCTTTCAGGCCACACAAGTATCCTACATAGGTACGCATACATACACATATACACACATATATACTCATATGGGAATGAACGTGTGACGATCACATCTCACAGTCATAGTGGGCCTCCTCATAGCCATACACATATATATAAGATCGCAGGGCAGTCCAATCCAATAATCCAAGCCCCAGAACATACCTGCAATCACATCAAAGAGTCAAGCAAAAGTCCATACACTACACGGAGTCAACTCCAACCAATCTCTATGCTCATACCCCTTGCCTCAACCATGCAAGCCCCAACCTCCAGCCAACCAACCTTAGGTAAATACTCAGTAYCTTTGTTAAATGGCCATTCAATAAAAGTCCTGGTGAAACCTTAACAAAACAGAAAAGATCACCAGGGCTGAAGCYTCTTTGGGTTGAGTAAGGAGAGTGGGTTGAGGTTGAGTCGTAAACTAACGAGTCGGCAACCGACCTGTTATCTGTGATCACAAAAGGTGATCCTTGCAGGATCAAAGTTGAATCTAGCCCCAAGTCCTGAATCAATCGATCAATGAGACCTGTAACACAAGACAGACCAATCTCAAGCTAAGTCTATGAGCTCATGGAGGATAACCTCCATATCACGATCTTACTCAAGCCACCACACTTAAYTAGGTCTAAGCTGTATCTYTAGCCAACGCCCAAGCAAGGGTAGYCTAKGACATAGYCTCTCCWACGTACGTCGCCAYCTGCTGAAAYACAAGCKAACCCCTCTAATTTAGGAAAATTTCGGYAGCGCTTCCCRTAGGAAAAGTGCCATCGCAGAAAATATACTAGTCCAAAAGTCAKACCTTTGGATTTCAGAAAGCAAAAATYTGTCTAACTCCCTGMYTTAGCAAAAATTTGGRCARCACTTCCTTCAACGWGGAAGGCTTYCCAGATTTATACTAAGTCARAATTRAACTTAGACATAAAGTCTAAGTTMTGTCAAGRCAAACTYTGAACCAATCCCTTAGATTTGTAGAAATTTCGGCAGCGCTTCCCGTAGARAAAGCGTCAGTYCAAGATTTATACAAAGCTAGGTTTGGAATCTGAAAATGACTTTGATCCTTCAGGGCCCARTTTTGACTAACACCCTGAATWAGTAAAAAWTTGGGCAGCATCTCCTTTAGRAAAGGAGGCTCCCCAGATTCTTACTAAGTCAAAAAGTCRTCAAGGTCGGATCCTGAAGAAGTCAAAGTTTTRACTAACTCCTTGATTTTGTAGAAATTTYGGCAGYGCTTCCCGTAGGAAAAATGACTTGCCAAGACTTATACAAGACCGAGTATGAAAAAAATCCCAGAAACAATGCAGAAATCGACCTAAGTAAAAAGAAACGAGCCCAGAAAATGCAGGAATTGAATYTAACTCTTGTGGCTCTAGCACGTGGCGARCAACTACAGCAACTACCTATCAAAACCTAAACTCAGACTAAGAAGTGRCATCACTCAGTCAYATGCAGGCCAAACCACAAACATGCACTCTCTCACCATCCCCAAGTTACCTTAGCAAACAATAGTTCGTAGCCTTTCAATGATTTGTCCCTTATACCCAGCTTACATAGGGCATAAGGCTAGACCACCCAAACTTATGGAACATGTCTAGCCCAGCCAAGAAGTATACACAAACGTAGGGCACAACAACTTTTCGCTTCCTTGGGCATATGACCAGGCCATCCTAGTCGCCCTGAACTGTTTAAGTATCCAAGGTTTATATAATTGTCTGTACTTAGTCTTTTGAGGTAGCATATAGCTGAGCCGATCATCTTCAACTCAAGACTCAGCCTGCCCCTTCGTACCACATGTTTATTCTTAGTTAAGTACTCTCTTCAGTTGGGGATAAGCTATAGTCAGGCCACCCAAACTTATGGAACCCTGCCTGACTAACATGTTCATAGATAGCATAATAGTAAAGTACATCAAAGTTATAGCCTTCCGGTTCCAGCATGTGCGAGGCGTTGGACCAAGACCACCCAAACTTATGGAAGATGTCTTGGTTCTCAGCCTGGTTTATTTCTCTTAGACCAAAGCAGGAAGAGGTAGAGCCACCCAAACTTATGGGACATGCCCACCTCCTCGTTCAGAAACCAAAGAAACTGTAAAACCCCCAAATAAACGAGGCCGCCAGACTACCCAAACTTATGGATCTGACTGGCTCCTGAAAAACAATCACATTCAACCCTCACAAGTCAGAGCAACCAGACCACCCAAACTTACGGAACATGTCTGGTTCTCAAAGCAATACAAAGGAAACATAGCACTGGGCCTTCCCAAACTTATGGAACAAGCCAAGCCTTCGGTTGACCCATTCAGACTCATGCAAAATTGCCTTTCTCTCACCCCTCCCCCTAGATGCAATCCCACAATCTGCTTTCAAACAATCAAAGAAGTCGAAACTTAACTTTATACATACGTTCTTTTACTTGGTCTGGTTATGTCCTGAATAGAAAACAGAAACCATAGGGACATGCATGCATACACCAATCAAACCATAAGGGGATATGCAAGTATGGKTGTAGAGGGWTMTATAKATRGAAAGGGATTAYCTGGTAGTCCCCTGCCTCCAGAACCTCGCCTAGGTTCCGGCAGAGCTCCCGCAATCGGTGGGAGGACTCCCCACAGAGTCTTGATGCGGACCTACGGGTTGCAATCCCGCCTGCCGCCTTCCCCTCGTAACCAATTGACTAGACCTAGAGTAAGAAAGATAGATAGAGAATGTATAGAGACTCTCAGAGGGGTACACTCCGACTCCCGTGAGGGGGCCTTGTTATCTTGGTTTGCCTGAGGGCCCCGCAATGGCGGCCAATCCGACAACTTGACCAATGAAGCCAGATTGTCGAAGTAACCTTCCCTGGCGGTCTTCCAACTCGCAGGGCCAGGTCCCCACCCTAAGCTCTAAGTCCAACTGCAGTTGCCCAACACTATGCCCTGACCCTCAGATACTGTGGCAATACACAGTGGAGGTTAACAGCAGCAGTAGACGCCACCCACAACCGCAGCCTCGCCCAGTCTCAGCGGTAGTCCTCAGCAGTGGTCTTCGCCCAGTCCGTTGTATCAAGAGTACTCAGTGGGGGTTACTTACAACCAGCACCCTGTGTCCCATCCACAGAAGTAGCATATAGCAGTGTGCAGAAGCCCACAGTCATTGGTAGTGGCACATAGCGGCCACAGTCCGCCCACAGTTTTTAAGTGCAACAACGAGATTGGTTACTCCGTGGCAACCCGAACGCAGTTGTGGGTCTCCTCTGATGCAGCAGCAACGATCAATTGTAGCAACATGTAGTGGAGGCCTGGCAACAGCAACAGTACTTCGCACACAGTAGTGACCAGGCAACAGCAACAGTAGGTTGTGCGCAGTCAACAGTCGTAGCAACAACGGCAGCAGTGTGCAGCGGTAACTAGCGACCACAACCACTGTACACAACGGCGATCCACGGAGACATCAGTAATATACAGCGGCCCCCAGCAGTAACAGTAGCCGCGGTAGCCTGCATCCACATGCAGCAGACCCTAGTAGCCCGTGCTCAGCCCGCAGTAGCAGCAGCTTCAAGAGTAGTGGTGGTGTAAAGGGATAAAACAGCCAGACTCTGAAAAATAGTAGCCAGACACTGCAAAAAAAAAAAAAAAAAAAAAAAAAAAGTAAGAGTATTTAAAGCTAAAAAAAAGGATAAAAGTAATAAAATAACGAAAACCGAACGGGGGAGGGGGACCGTTCGTGCCTGGTCCTACCCCACGGGCCCGCTGCTGGACTCCCCCAGCAAAAACCAAAAGGGATAGTCCTACGAGACCCTCAACCCCTCGGTTCGCTCCTGCGCCGCTCCGCTCTGGCCTCGATCCCAAAATCCGCTTGGTGGTAGTTCAATGACATAACCTATAGGGCTAAGCCCTAGTCTGGATAGGCTAGGCGCTAACCTGTATATGGGTGGTAACCGTGGCCAGCCTGGGCCTGGGGCAACAGCGTTAAGACTGCCACATGACTTCCTGTTCCAACCCACGGCCCTGTACGCATGC